TTAGGTCAATATCAAACCAGAGCTAAATCTTTCCTAGTTAACTAGGATATTTAGTTGCTATGTGAATAAATATAACCTTGAACAATATACCTTTTATACCCATAACAGAATCCAGAAGAATTCGATAGAAATTCTTCTTCTTTTGAACTCTATAATAATTATTAACCTAAAACGTAAAATAAGTGAACAGAAAAAAGGCATCACCAGGAAAATAGATAGTCTATTACTTAAGTGGACTCAATAAAAATCGTACCTCTGGTTTGATGACTGTCATATCCACTTCTGTCATTTCAAAGTATATTTCGCACACCAAGAAAGGTCTTTCTGTATAGCTTGTTGTAGTAGAAGTTGTGCACCCTGCTTCTCTGATGCTCAAAGGCTTGGAGACAGTAGATCAAACGACAGCTTTGCACTTCTTAAGTGACAGAGACTCAAATTGGTAACAAGTTTCCCAGCGCGCTATTATCAACGTAAATTTGTCCACTTGCACGAACATTGATTTCGGAAATATATATCAAGAAGTACTTAAATATGGATCATGAAGCTGTTCAACTAAAAAAAATATGGAAATATGCGGCAGTCACAAACAGATATTTTAGCTTAAGCAGAATAACTGCATAAATAAACAATTGTATCAAAATGTAGACAGTTTTCTGCAGTTAAGTAGTTAAATACATAACATGTTGCAAGAGATATATGACCAAGCTCCTGCACTAAATATTTGAAAGGTGCTCCCAGAACCTAAATAAACTGACTGTCAATTATATTTCTTATATATGTCTGAGTTAGCATTCACGTACACTGTTAAAGCCGATCAGACTGGATAATATATTGGACTGTCAAAACAAAACAAGGATCTCAACATTATCAAGGTTCTTATCACTGGAACCACTAGCATTAGAGTCAAAGCAAGCAGCAGAAGTAAAATATTTGACATTACAGGGGAAAATAGTTAAATAGTTAAACATTTAAAAAATTAACCAGGATTATCTCAACCTTTCTCTCACCAGAAAAAAATGGTTTCCTTCTACTGAATTTGCTTTAAAGAACCAAACATTCCACATTAAGCATACAAATATTTTCAGTGCAGCAACACAAGCAGGAGTCATGGCACGATGATTCCCTCATAGGAAATCAACATAAAAATTTCTATTAAAGATAAGCCTCACACCTATTGTTAAGCACTCCTATGGTAAACTAAAGTTATCAATTAAACATTCGATGTTATGCAGCTATAGCCCCCCTGTTGATGTGCTCGTGAAAAAAAGAAGAAGAAGAGATGAACGGAACCGTTATACCGAAGTTAACATGTATCCTCTCAGTAACTTACCCCATATTCCATTTGTCTTTGTTGCAAATGAATAATAAATCTTACACAAGTGTTTGTGTTACATCCAATTTATCCAATTGTACTCCCTATAAAACTACCTTTTCTGAATTACCACCATTCCTGAATTAGTCCTTATTTAACCCTACCTCCAAAAATTCTGAATTCAATCACTTCAGAATATTATTTCTCATTTTACAACCATTCCACCTCTATTGCCATTTTAAGAACATAATTTAATTTAATTTAATTGGCTTTTAAAATGAGATAATTCAACTTATGGTACCAAGAGGAAAAGCTAGGTCACTCGGCGATTATAAGAATACCGAACTACCACATGGCAGCCAAAATTTTCATCTGCCAAGGTTCTGGGAAATAACAAGATAACAGAGCTATATTTCACCCTATCTAACGGTTATTTTACATAAAAACAACTTCAATTACATGCAAACTAAGCGGAAACCTAATTTCTTGCACGTATCAGTTACCAACACAACCCAAAAAAACACCTTATAATTCAATATTATATTTAGTTCATTTTCCTATTCTTAATCAAGTCTTATTTATTACCTCTATTCCTTTTCTCAGCAAGCAAACACCTTTTAAAAAATACGAACACATATAGCATCAAATAAACATAAATGAATTTGCAAAAAGAAAAAACCCTAAACCTACCTAGCTCAGGAAGCCGAGCAGCTAAAAATCGAAAACTGAAAAATTGAACAAAAAAATAATCAAAATAAGAAAAGGAAACACATTTCCGTCACCAATCCGTCCTGTAGATAAACAAAAGCAATGAAAGAACGATTCTCGAAAGTCAATTTTAACAGATAAGTACAAAATTGATTTTCTCTTCCCTTCTAATGTTAGATATCTAGCATTTCAATTACCTTTTTTTCAATTCGTAAACAAAACGGCGTTGTTTCGATTATACCTGTGGGGAAGGCAGCGGAGGTTGCAGAGCTTTCGAACTGCTCGGATACGGCGGTAGTTGGAGAACTCCGAAACGGATAAATGGGAGATAGAGAACGGAAAAGGAAAGAGAAATATAGTGTTTCTCTTCTTTTTTTTTCCTCGTTTTTTAACGTAACGTGTAATTTTTTTTTATTTTTAAAAAATATAGTTAAAATTTTCGGAAAGATAAATATTGTAAAAAAGGAAATAAAAGGAGGAAGATTTTATGCCCAAGCTAGGGTAAGACTGAGTCGGATTTTTAGTCTACCTGATTTGAGTTGAGAATAATGACTCTTTGACCTGATTTAATCCTATAATATATATTTGATTTGATTTTTTAAAATAAAATTTGAATCCGATTCGATCCGACCTGAAATAATAAAAAAATATTATTTTTATTCAATAAAAACAGTGATTTAATTAAAAAAATAATATATAAATGGGTATTGTTATAATTATTTCTAAATATATAAAGTAAAATTATATTTTTTCGGGTCGAGTCGGATATTTTTCATCATAAATCCGAATCCAACCCAACCCGAACATTACCTTTAAAAAATCTGACTCGACCTAACCCGAAATCGATTTTTTTAAAAAAACTCAACCCAATCGGGTTTCGGTCCGATGTCCATACCTACCAAGGTTTGCGAGCCGCGTCGCCGTCTTTAGAGGAGCGAGGGTCCGTTAAAACGTCACCGCAAAACGCACACGTGAACGCTGCTACAGTTGGTTAGGGTTTGGTGGTTCTTTCTTTCATTTTTTGTTTCTAGTATTTTTTTTTTCAAATCCGCCCAGCCATTCAGACACCCCGGAAATACCAAAGATGCACTTCTCTTTAAAGAAAATGCTAATTCCGTTTATTAATCCAATAAAAATTAGTCTTTTAGTTCAAGAAACTAATGTTCCAAAAGGTAAACTTTAAAGCGTTTATCCATAAACTTAACCTAAAACATTACTTATTAAATTTTCAATTTATTATTTATAAGATTTAATTTGTATCTCAATACTCATAAACATTAAAATTAACATTCTTTAAATTATACATAACACGATACTTAAAATGGCGAATCACTTGCAGAAGGTGTTGCGTGATGTTCTGGGGCTCCAATGCACTGGATTGACTAGGAAAGATAAGTATCTGTTGCTTGGAGGAAATGATGGTAAGGTTGAATCGATGTATAATGGCAAGAAATAATTTGGGTATGTGCCATGCTTCAGGGAATTCCTTTTATTCACTAATTCCAACAGTAATATTTTTACCGTTTCCGTAATGAAATGATGTTCTATAGTACTGGTATGACTTTTGGGTATTGTACATGTGAGCTTTGTTTTATTGTCGGAAATGTTATCTTTACCATTTCTATAATGAAATGATGTTCTATAGTATTGGTATGATTATAATTTAATTTATAGACAGTTTTTTTGTTTAATTAAAAAATAAATATTTAAATTATAAAGTGTTTTTGGAATAAGGTATGTATTTAATGTTTTTTTGTCACCAATGTATAGTTGGTCACAAACGTTAAAAACAATTATCAAATCATTCAAAATATGACATGTGGCGTGTTTATAATAAAGCTTGGATGGTAGTCGATATATAACAAATGTTTTTTCTTTCAATAATATCATTTTATTTGAAATTATCAACACAATAACTAATTTGCACTATCTCTTTTTTCTCTAAAAAGATCTCTCAATGTTGTAGTAAAGTACTCCATTATCATATTGAAGAATTTGTATTTGACTCTGAAATTGGGTTTCGACCATAAAATAAAAATATTTGAAGACATTGACAATTTCTGAGTTTTCCTTTAGTAAGTAAGTCCAAATAGTTCGACTATAATCATCAATAAAAGTGATAAAACATCTATAACTATTAATATTTTTGACTCTAGAAGGGCCTAAATGTCACTATGTATCAGGGAAAAAAGGCTAAGAGAGTTTATATATAAAAGGTGGATAAGGACTCTTTGTGTGCTTAATAAGTTGGCCGATAGAACAATGAAAAGTATTTGACTTTTTATTAATGAAGAAAAGTGGGGACAACTTGGCTAAATAGTGAAAACTAAGGTGATGTAACCTAATGTACCATAGCATCACGTATCAGAGATTTCCGATGCAATAGAAAAATCATAAAAAGATAAACCAGTAGGATTATTTGGAGAAGAGGAAATATGTTGTGTTTGAAGAGGGTAAAGTCCATTCGACAGTCTAGCATTGTCAACCATTCTCTCTGAGTGCATTGCCTGCAAAGTACAAGTTTTATCAGTAAATGTGACAACATAATTCAAATATTTTGACAATTTATTGATTGAAAAAAGATTACAAGTTAAAGAACATCATTCAAGATTATGTTATTGTAAAAATAGAACCACTTCCTGCAATGGCAAATAAAGAATTGTTTGTTGTTCGAATAGAGGACCGATTATGTTGAAGCTGAAACTCACAAAGATCTTTATTTCCAGTCATGTGATCGGAAGCCGCTGAGTCAAGAATCCATGTTGGAGTTTTCTTTTTAGTAAGGCAGCACAGGATGAACCATCTTGTTGACAAGTTGCAAGATCGGAAGTGGCTGGTCCAGTAAATTGACCAAACAGCTTCTGGATTTCTTCAGCCTGCTCTTTGATAAAGCGACTAATTTTGTCAACATTGACCAGATCGGACTGAGACTTTCTGGGCGATCTGTTGGTAGACGACTTCCAGTCCATTGGCGGTTAATCATGGCGATTAATCTGATCAAAAACTCCTGTTTGGGCTCTTATAATCTCTCGCTTCTACCATAATTGGGGAACTTTTGTCCTCCTGACATGGATGCCTACGTACTACAATCAGGTATTTGAACAATGATCAATGAACAATCTCACCTTTACAATTGGCATTGAGTACAGTCTAATTGGCAGCAATGCTCAGCACTTGTTGCCTTGCTGAATAAGAGGCATTAATTGCATATGGCTTGCAGCTCCTGTGCAGGCTGTATTGCTGTTGCAAACTTGCAGACCATGCCTTTCCATGAATACACCTTTACCTGCCAAAATACATTCCAAGAGTGCTGGGTATTAGATTTACAGATCATTAATTGCTGAATTTGTTACAGCTGAAAAATTATATTTAAATCTTGATTTTGCTGTCTCACGATAGTAAATGTCATGGTGGTTCTTACAGGTTTTAAAGTTTGACTTCAACCTCACCGAATCCTGACTCCTCTGCGTATTGTCTTGGTTGACTATGGCTGTCTTTGCAAATATAGGAGGGTGGATCGCTGATACACTCGTGGGCAAAGGTTTTTCCATAACGGCAGTGCGTAAGGCAAGGATTAGTTCTCCTTTGATTCTTAAGTTTGATTTATTTCAAAAGATTATAAAATGCTTGAATGTACCAACTTGTAGTATTTTATTGATTCTTCTGCTATAACCTTTCTGATTCTTATCTAAATTCATTCTCGTTTATATAGTACAAGTCTAACACCCAACCTTCTGATCGATGAGCTGAAAAGGAAATTTAGTACTTCAGTGGAATCAATGGTACAGTGGTTGTAGGAAAGACTACTCGAGTCCTTTTACGTAATCATGCCCGTAACCAATTATTTTTGCAGATCATGCAATCGATAGGCTTTCTGGGGCCTGCCTTCTTCCTTACACAGCTAACCTATGTCAGAACACCTGCTATGTCTCTGCTGTGCATGGCATGTAGTCAGGTATCATTTATTTATTTATTTTAAGTTTCAGCTCAGCTTTGAATTTGTGTTGTTAATATATGTAGCATTGTAAACTCCTGATTAGACTGACCGAAGAAACTGACTTAGGTGTTTGGTTTTAGGTGTCCACTAACTGATCTGTCAACTTTGGCAGAGATAGTGATCTATAAATTCCTTTTTTCCTTGACAGGGATCAGATGCATTCTCTCAGTCAGGTCTTTACTCCAATCACCAAGACATTGGCCCACGCTATGCTGTGAGTTTCTGAAAATAGAATATAATGTACTTTTCAGCAATTTATACATGGCCAAATTAGTTTGACATGTCTGTAAGTGCCAGGACTAATAACTACATATTGATAAGATCATCCTTGCATAAACGTAATTAGTAAGGCTTATTTTCTAATTTGGAAGAGTAATTCCCTTAATCATCAGTGTTTCTTGTCAAGAATGACATTTTTCTTTTCCTCAAAGTTGTTCGTGTCCCTTAATCATCAGAGTATAATATATATATTGAATTGTAAAATAAAATGAAAATACCTCTCCCTCTTATAAAAGATTTGCCATTGATTATGTACCTAACTTCCTTCTGGCTCAATATCCGTGAAAAATATAACTCAGTGGCCCCCTCCGGCTCCTTCATGCCTTAAATATTCTTCACCGAAGCTACCGCTCGCCGCACTAAAAATTCACACTTTACCTCTACATTTTCTCTTCATTGATAATGTTTTCAACAATTGCTCCTAAATCTCTCTCATGCACGTTAACTTTAAGGCCATACTTCATAAACAATGTTAGTGACCAGGGTATCAAATAGCGTTTGCGGTCACGTTTTTTGTCACATCGCGTTTATCGCGGTTGCGGACATAACGGATGTCATTGCGTTCACTGCGGGTGTCGCGGTCGTAAATTTTTTAAATTTTGCACAATTTATCTTAAAACATAACAAAAATAATTATAATTATTAGAAATCATTTTTAATGATTTTTAAAATGTTTTCTAAGCGAAATTGACATATATATAATATAGTTTAATCAAATAGAAACTTTAAAAACCCGATGATAGGATAAGATAATTAATTAACGAATACATTATTATTTAAAAGAAATAAGACTATCAACAATCAACATAGGAAAAAAATAAGAAATTAAAATGGATAAAAATAAACTTTGCTATAACTATGAGATTAAAAAAATCTAAGAAATTAAAAAATTAAGAAACTTAAAATTTATAAAAAAATTATTAAAATTCATTAGAATATTATATGAATGGTCATTATCGGGGCATTGAAACATGTAGAATGACGGATTGGCACAGTAAAACCCACGTCTATGAACAAATGATGCATTCTAACATATCTTTGGTCTTCACTTGCTAGGTAGAGTGCTGCATTTGCTACATCCTCAGCCTTAAGATACACAACCTTAGGTCATAAGGCAGCAATCAAACCCATCACGGGTTGAGGAACACATGTATGATTAAACTTAAACCCTGAATAGTTTTTTAGACATTTATTTATTTATTTAAAGGACTTTTCTTATAATTTTATATTTTTTATAAAATGGAATTTTTCATAATTTAGGTATTAAAGTTAACAAATTAAATCGTGAAATCAGCCTTAAAATGATATTAGTGAAATATTTATAAAGTGATTATTCATTTTTCCCTAATTTTTACTAGATATTATTTATATTGAAATATAAATACAAAGGTTACAACTGAAAATATAAAAAAGGGAAAAAATAATACATTTCTCTTCTTAAAAAATTCATATTTTTACCAAAGATTTAATCACCCTAACATCTAAATATCTAAAATGAGTACATAACTTAAATAATGAATCTATTTAAAAAACTTAAATAATTAATTCATGGTTTGACTTCTTAATTATATATCTTTTCTCATTTTTTTAATTTTGTTATATATCTTATTTTATTCAAATTATGGACATTAAAAAATATCAGATATTATAATATATCAGTATTTTTTTGGTAATTATAATAAAATAATGATTTAAATATTAAAATAATGTATATATAACTCATAAATCAATGGTATATTAAGCCTTGAAAAGAATAAGAAGAAAACACGAGTGAAGTGTTGTGAAAACGAGGGATCAAATTTCCTAATTTGAAGCGGACGTCAATCAGGGAAGACTTTTCATTTCACTCTTCTTCACTCCCCAGTTCACTCTTCTTCACCCCACAGCCCCACCCATTTCACTATTCTTCAATTTTCACTCATTTCATTTCCAAATATGAGAGAATGGAGGCCAAAGAGGGGAGGAGGGTGGACTTCAAAACTATTCAAAAACAAAATCTTCTGTCAAAACGATCCATAAACCCACAAACTGCTCATGGTGGGTAAAGGAATTGACGATCATCATCTGCTACTCGAAGGATTTTCTCCGGCGCATCTTCTATCCAAAACTGGTCAGAGCTAACTCGGGAATCCAAAGTCTCTTCATTTTCATTTTTGTTTTCGTTTACAATTGATAGCAGCAGAGGTTGGTTTTGATTTTGTCTTGGAATCACAGTTGAATAACGGTGGTTGCATCCCGTTATTGGCGCAATCGTCCGTTTCCCGTTAAATTACGGGCGCAATCAACCGATATTGGTGTGAATCCGTGACCCACCGCAAAAACCATCAAAACCAGTTTCGGACGGTGGCGCAACCGCAATATCACGGCCGCTATCACGGTTTCGGAACGCTATTTGATACCCTGTTAGTGACATCTTCTGCTCCACCTTATAGCCAGCCATCAACGTCAGTTTATGCCTCAACAGCGCTGCTGCGGCCGCCGATTTCATCTGTAGATAAGCCAAGCCTTTCCCCAAACATATTTTCGACCCGATGTTGAATGCTGCAAATTTATAGGAGTCATGCTTGATGAACTCCTTCCCGTCTATTGATAACCACCTTTGGGACGGAACTCTAGGCAATCATCGCCCCACGTCGACCTCGTTCTCCCTACTGAATATATTGAATATGTCACTGATGATCCTGTCTGAACGAATGTTCCATCTGATAATATGTCATCGGCCACCACGTGTTTTGAATCTTCAGGGACTGAAGGGTACAGTTTAAGGTTTCAAACAATATCGCCTTTAAATATATCAATCAGTCAAGTTATTCGAACTTTAGAGTTTCCTCAAACCAAGTTGACATGTTGATGCCACGTGTGTCTATTAGGATAGTGTAGATTTCACATAAGATTTTGTCTTCGACCATTGGATGTTGGATGATAAGTCAGAAGAACCAACTGAGAGCAACAACAAATGTATAACGTCAAGATAAAATTGTGTGCCATGTATTGGAGAAACTCGTCCAAATATGGTTCTTTTTTCTTCATGAACCTCGAGAGCAAATCGTCGTGTGGGTTTCCATCTTTTTGCTGGCAAAGCAATTCTTGCTTACGTGAATTGACGATGTTGGATAAATATTCAGCCATATGGACAAGGCTTCGGCTCAGGTTCACTTCTAAGCCAAACCGGAACCATCTCTTTAGCTTCCACAAAACTTCGGGCAAAATAAACCTTTGCAGGGACGCATGTTTGTGGATCCCTTCCGAAAGCCAAGCCGCAAATATTATCAAAAGTGAGCCTAAGCAACACGTCTTGTATATCAACGGGCTGGCTTCGGCTTTGAGCTTCCTCAAGAATAGGCCAGAACACGGCCTGCCACGTGGGACCTTTAGGATAATTGTCGAAACGAGACTTGAGGATGTGCTCCTCGGGTCGCACGTGACCGTCACGAGACCTTGTTTACGAGCCAAGAAGGGGAAGGCACAAATGCAGCTCTGGTACGTGCCGCCGCAAGCTCGGAGGATGTCGGAGATCTAGTCGAGCATAAGGTCACAGTCATAGTATTAAATTGTGGTTGCGGTGTCCGTCGTAAATACGGTTACGGTATCACGATTACAGACACTATGATCATTATGTAATGCGTAACGACTTTTACGGGAGTGATTTATTTCTAAAAATCACATTATTTCTAAAACATTATATTTATACATTTTACATTCATATTTTAATACTCTAATATTAACTATTATTTAATGACATATTCTTATAATCAATCTTCAATTATTAGATAGAGATGTATCATAAGTTAAATGTTTCTTTTAATGTTAATATTATTTTTTTGTTAAGTCAAACTATTCAAGTATTTTATCTATATAATTTTATATTTTAGACAATTTAGATGTTCAATGCAGCGTTGTTGCGGCGTAATTTTTTGCCTATTGTGGTGTTACATAATAGTTTTAGACCGCAAAAGTTATAATATGATTCTCTTATCGCGTTGAATTAATATTGCATTACAGTGACATTCAAAATCGTTACAATGCGACTGTTACATAACGTTGTGATTGCAATTTAGTACTATGGTCACAGTTCTCAAAAAGCCCGACAGATTACCCAATAGAGTCCAGACACGTGGACCACTTAACGACCGTGAGGTGAACATGAACCACAGTAGGTAAGCTGAGCAAAGCAGTTGATATATCCATTGTTCTCTCTAACTACAACAAAACAACCACTCTCCTACCTCCAAAATTTTCTCGAGATAATTAAAAAGAAAGAAACTCACCTAAAAGGATGGGTATTATTCAAAAAGTGATATTTTTACGTTAAAAAAATGAGTGTTTTGCTTTATTTTTCTGTTTTTATGTCCATGAAAAAAGATATAGAAAAAAAAACCCAGAAAAGAATAAGAAGAGAGTGATAATACAAAAATGGAGTATATAGAAAGAGGATTTATAGGTGAAATTATAATGAAGGAAATTATTAAGGACAGACTGTTCCTTTGAATAACAACATCATTTCTCTTATTTTTTTAATTTTCTTCTCTAACAACATTTTGAATACTAAAGGAGGCAGGAGCCTTATTACATTACGGGGGCATTAGGCCTCTGATGAGGTGTCCCGTGGAAATCACTAAGAAGAGTACTATGAAGAGCAGGTGGAGCAGTCGAGAAGATGCGTGTGGTTCTATCAGTATTGATATCAGTTTTGACAAGACTATCGGCGGTCGAGTTCACTTCACGCTTAATCAGTTTGAAGTCCAGTGACTAGTTTGGAGAAGTAAACTGGTTAATTAGACGAACCAGATGTTAAAAGTTAGTTTCAAAGTTTGGTAAATGTTTCTTTGAAAAATATTTTTTAAAGTTTGGTAAAGTTTGGTAGATGTTTGTTGAAAATAGGAATAAGTAAATTCACTTTAGTCATTGCACTTTAGGGTATTTTCAATGATTAGTCCCTAAGTTTCAACTATA